ATTCATACATCTAAACACTTGCCAACCCTTTTAGCAAACTTAATACACCATTAGATTATATAATGTCATAATTGTATGAAATAAGCCCAATGTAGGCGTGTATGGGAAGGAAAAGACTATATTAGCATAGATTCTGTGCTCTAAAACCATAGGATTGCTGAATATTATAAGTAAATTATTGCTGAATATTAAATCGTCAAAATTATGTTATGATATTACTCTACCATAGATTTAGGTCTGAAAGGTAATGGATTAATGAGGACGTAAAGAGTAAGTCAACACAGTGAAATTATCACTATTCATGTTTTACCGTAATATACATTTAGTAGTAGGAATTTATGAAATATTGATCTGCATTTTTATTATGATACAACAATTTATGTAATTTATTATTTATTTTGTATGAAATGTGCATTAAATTATTCTACAAACTATAGTATTCATATAATACAGTAATAATAATAATGTTTCATAGTTTACATGTAATAAAAGTATATTCTTTATATCGACAGAGTTTGACAATAAAGTATTTTTTAAAACAAAAATTTTAAAACAGAATTAAGATATATTGGTGTATAAAATTAAATTAACTTTTAATAATCATTATATATAAATATATAATAAATTAATATATTAATACATAACATATTATGTGTCTAATAGTTGTGTACTGTATTAGTTCGGAAAACAACCAGAAAACTAAGCAACAAAAAATTGAATCAACACTTTCATTGAAACTCAATTTATTAGTGTCAGAACACCTGCATCATAGGAAAATGCCTGTCACTAAATATAACCAAGAATTAGACGTTAAATCATGTTAGACAATCAATTATTAATACTATTTTAATATTGGTCACTCTAATTTTTCTTTATTTAAAGTCATTTGTAGTATTCATTGTCTACTTAAATTCTGTATACTTAATTGAATATTGAAATATTTTCTGTTCATTATATTGGAGTTTGAAATAATTGTACGTAAAGCATATATATTGATTAACATCTATTTTTCTATCAATAGATTTTAATTTTTATAATCTTCTAAATGTAATCAATTAATATAAGAGTCTTCATTTATTCAAATGTGATTTTTAAAAATTTTATTGAAAATACTTTTAATAATCGCTTCATTCATGTTTTATATAACATTATAAGAAAACATGACTCCAAGACTCCAATATTAAACAAATTACACGATATTCTGTTCATTAAGAACATCGATTATATAGAAAAAGCATTCAATGTAAATAAATTAAGTGTTTTTAAAACCAAAAAATTATGATAAGATATTGATATGAAATGAAATATTCTCGGCGTCAGAAATTCATTGCTATTATTAATATTAATATTAATATTAGTGATTATGTCTTTTGGTTGAAATTATAAGTTATTTTCTATTTTGAATTTATAGTGAAATCTATAATCAAAGTTACTTTAATCGCTAAAATAAGTTATTTAAACATTTATAACTTATGAAATGTTTTATAAAATTTCATTTATTACAATACAATTCAATCAGTATTTTAAGGACACTTTGAAGGATAAAAATGAGTCCAAAATTCAAGAGAAACTTGGTTAATTATCAATCCTTTAACTTAAACATTATTTGCTAATATTTACATTAATAGAAGGTTTTATTAAAATCATTGCGAAAACAATTACAAAATATAGTAAATATTATTGTTAACCCTTAATAATTATATAAAATGCTAGGCATTGATATGACAATCAATTAATTGTAAATTTATAACACAAATCTCTTTTGTGAAAATGATAATATTTAGATAAGTATTGACAACAAAACTGCTAATAAATTATTAGTAATAATAAATAAACGGTATTAAGAATTTTCGCCACTTTTTATCTGTAGACAGAAATTCATGTGAACTCTAGTTGTGTTTGAATAAACTCTCCTCCATATGATTGCCTTGATAACTTTGTATGTATGGTTTGTATGTATGGTCTGTATGTATGGTTTGTATGTATCGTTTGGTTCACAACATCGGAATCAGAGCTTTGCAGCCATTCATCTCAATCTATGTAAACATGAATTTAATTTTTATCCAATTTATCACATATTTTGGATTCAGGGATCAAATTCCTGTCACATCTCTCGCAATGAAATTATTATATCACTGCTAAGAAATATTTGACACCTATTGGACCACATTAGACATCTTATAGATTAGCACTTCTCTACTAAATCTTGTGATTCCTGATACATAATCTGATAATTGTATAGTTTATTAATATCAAAACAATATACAGTCATAATAAATAACAAAATTCGCTTATAATACAATAAAAAAATGTTTGAAAGATAATGAATGAATAGAAAATATGTAAATTTGATAATGAGATCATGATTTGTGAGATGTGTACAAAAGTTTCAAATAGTAAAGCTTAGAATCGATTATTAAATAGTCATAAATTAATTTTTCAAACAAATGAATAAAATTATAGAATAAATGAGAATAAGAGCCAAAAATATTCGCAATATTTGAATCGATAGCCAAAAGTGAAAAGCGGTTCATTCGTTGGAGTGGACCCTGGGGTCGGCCAACCAGTTGTTGACGACATTCCAAATACTTTTGACGGCAACACTGAGAGGACTCCTCCGTTGGTATCTCTCGTAACTTCTTCTTCTGACGGCAAGCTTTGCGTCTTCAATGATCTCATTCCAGACCATCGCCTCCTGGCACGGGTCGACTGTGCACTTGTGGTGAAGTAACAGTTTGGGCGGAAGTCGTATACCACAGCCTCGATGACACTGTACTGGTTTGGATGGGTTCAGCGGACAGAGAGCTCTGTGTTTAGCCATATCTTCGAGTTTGACGGAAACAATACATCCCTCGGAAGCGAACTCGCATTTTGTTGGCATTTGTTTGAGATAACTGTAGAGGAATTTGGGCGCCGGCCTCACTTTATTATGCGATATCTCGTTCCTGTCGATGGGACAGGTAGACGGACCAAACATCGGCGTTTCTATCCATCTTCTGATGCATTTCTCGCAGAAGATGTGTCCGCACGGCTCCACTTCGTATGGATTCTCAAGGACTCCGAAACCTTTTTATTTGAAAATTTAAAAAATATTAATATTATTGAGATGTTTGGGACAATAATGCATTGGAATATTGATATCCAGAATATTTAAATATAATATATTTTGTAGTATTTGTTCATATTTTATATGTTATATACCAAATTTGACAATAAAATGTATTCACAATTACAAATTAATTTCAACAACACTTACATATCGGACATATGATGTCGTCGTGCACTTTGCCGTAAAATCTCGAGACATCGAAACCCATGGTTTGCAACAAATGAATTGAATATATCTCGTTGAACTTTGCGGGACACAAATGTTAAGAAACTTTCTATAAGCGAATAGAAAGTTAAATTCGTTTACTTTTGTTACTAAAATGTGAGCTAAGAATTGGTATGACGTTAAACGTGGGCAAACTCTTAAATATATAGGCAATCAAGTGATATATAGTTACTGCCGACAGCGCCACTCATAATGTTATTCTATGAGAATTCCTGATAAATCCGGTTTCGCTCTAAATTGATATCAATTTACTATTCGCTCTCAATATTTATTTGAGAAAGTTTTCACCACAACATTATGAGCGTCTAGCGCCACTCATAATGTTATTCTATGAGAATTCCTGATAAATCCGGTTTCGCTCTAAATTGATATCAATTTACTATTCGCTCTCAATATTTATTTGAGAAAGTTTTCACCACAACATTATGAGCGTCGCCTCAAACCGGATCACTTGAGAGCCAGTGATGTCAATGTCATGGTTTTGAACGAATAAAACAACTCTTTTTATCCCAAATTATTTTCCAGAATATTCAGCACAACTCCATATTCTATGGTATTTTCCATTTAGTCTCGGTTTGTATACAAAAAAGTTTTCATTTCAATATGAGCTCAATCAGTAAATTAATATTTGTGTTAATTCTATAGTATAATAGGGTAGATATGTAAAATCCGATAACTTTATAATTTTATCAATCGTTGAGTTTACAAACGATACCATTGATCATATTTGTTGGACATAACTTAGGCTTAACACATCACATGCATGTCATTCACCGAAGTCCTAATATTTATGTTTTATTTTATCAAATAACTATTCTTTTCACTTCATTTTCCTTTTTATGGTTTTATTTTTATTAAAAAGCGACAATTTGATTGCACTACTATTTTAAGTCTAATAAAATTGTCTCAATTTTTGAGCGATAAGTAACTAATCAGTAGTATTCCGTCTCAAAGATTATTTGCCCTTTAATTGAGATATTCTGTGTAATAAACGATAGAATAGTTCAAAATATTTTAAGTTAAATACCCCTTGAAAGTTCAAATTGTAAAAATTATCGCTTCATAAAAATTTAGATATTTGTTGATTATTTAAAATTATAATATCGATATTCATAAGACTTGAGACGCCGTTTTGGCAAATCTTAATAAATTTGTATGAATGCCATTGACATTGAAACCTAAACAATAATACTTACAATAAGTTAGTACACAACTACTGATATAAAGCACTAGAATTTGTGATATAAAAATATAAAAAATAGGTTCATAAATGTCTATTTGTGGAAATATACCAAAAAGTTTGTTAACATTACTTACTATTAATATTTGAGTACTTGTTTGTGTTTTAATTTTTGCTAAACAACTAGATTCTAGTTACTATAACCTTTGTTTCCGACTTGTTATATGATTATTACTACCATTCAGTCATTTAACCGCAATTTGACAAAATGTTTTTCTACTAAACCTCTATTTGAAATGAATAAAAAAATGTTTTCAATTTGTTTTCATTGTTTATTCAGATAAAAATGCTTATATTTTTTATTCTAATAAATTAATCAAAAGCTACACAAGTGTTACACTTATCAGAAGACAGACACGTTTTTGGAGGCGACTTTAAAATCACATTTAGATAATTAGCAAAAAATAGCAAAAAATAGCAAAAACTCTGCGATATGTTGGCGTCAAAAAATGTTAACAAATTATATGCAAAACAACTAAAAATTAATAGCAGATAAATATTCAGTAAACCATACAATTCATTGAATTCATTCATTCAATTCATTGAATTAGTGATTTATAGATTGTAAGTATTGAAAGCAAACATTGAAAGTATCATTCAAATAACAAAAACTATATTTAATATGAGAATTATACAAAATTAAGTATAATTTATTTAATTAGTAAATCAGTTGCTTATGAAAAATTGTCATAAATTTCAGATGACTGGCTAATGAGGATTTATGGCTGAGAATTAATCATTAGAAACATTATTTAAATTATATAAAATTTAAAATTATGTTCAAAGTCATTTTATACAATATTACATTGTAAGTCTATTTGAGTACTTGTGTGATAATTTGATAAAATGTATAAAAGACTTTCCTCTGTCGCACATGGAGTCAATTTGCAAACAAACATTTGATTCAATATTCATGAATCAATTCAGCAATTTTAAGACTAGTGTTTATATTAGAAACAATATTTTGGCATATTTTGTGAGCAAATCAGACTAAACCTCTTCAATCAAATTATACTCATTAACCCTAAGAGCGCAAGGCTTTCGAAATTCTTNACATTTGATTCAATATTCATGAATCAATTCAGCAATTTTAAGACTAGTGTTTATATTAGAAACAATATTTTGGCATATTTTGTGAGCAAATCAGACTAAACCTCTTCAATCAAATTATACTCATTAACCCTAAGAGCGCAAGGCTTTCGAAATTCTTGACCCCTTTCGTGGATCCATTTGTTTGACACCCATTTGGAGCCGACGAGCACCGGACAGGCCGCGTGTCGGGTCAAGAGGTCGCCGTCACCTGACTTGTAGAGATTATACCAGAAAGCGGACGTTGACTTCGCGGGCCACACAGACACTCCCAACAGAGGGAATACTGTGGCCCCACCCGCCTCCACATCGCTCATGTAGTTCAGCCAAGTGGCGATCCTATTGCCTGTTCCTATCATTAAGGATACGGGATATGAGATAATGGCATATCTTTTAGTCATTAAGTAATTATTTGATAAAAATTGTATTTAAATAAAACATAAATTCTAAATAAGTTGTAAATTACAGTTAAATTGAATGTGATTTTAGTGTCTAGAATACAAAGGCCATGGGACGGGGATTACGTGCACAAACTGGGCATAGTCAATATAATCAATATAATCAATAGCTTAATCTATAAATTAATTATAAACTGAATTTTTCCAGAAACTCAGAAACGTGTATAAGATTTTCTAAGCACCCAATGAATAAATATTTTGACTAAATTGTCGATTAAATAAATAAAATACATTCAAATATAACAATACTCTCATTAAGGGAAAGGCAGTTAAAACCAGACACTCAGAAAACGAGAGTCCAATTAATTTATCGAAAGTTATGATAAAAAATCAAATGTAAAGAAAACTGAATTTTACAACTGATAACGGATTCAAAAGCTATTGAAGCTTACGATGTGTTATATACGAAATATACCTTAAGTAACAAATTGCTGTAATATATGATATATATTTCAAAACCATATTTACTAAATACAAACACTAATAAAACTGATTTTACTGTTGACTTGACATAAGTCAAGGCAATTGTCAACCAAAATAGAAATTATTTCTAAACAAAACTTATTTGACAAAAAATATGTTTAATAATGCTATCAGAGTTTGATGTACTCTTAATATACATATAAAATACTGTATTTATATTTATGTTCAATACATGAGAGGAACAGAGATTATGTAAGTATTGCCGTTCATATGATGGCCTCAAATGACCGAAAAGAAAGTTTCCATTAGTTTTGAAATTTCCAAATTACAGAGAATTACACACTTTCTCATGATTTGTTGACAAATAGCCAACATTGATAGCAATTTATAATTTCATTAATAGATGTTATAATTAATAAAATATATCTATTTATAATTTACATGTCATAAGACACGTAGAATCTGCTATTTATTAAAATAAACTAATTTTGTTATAAACACTATATAATCGAAAGCATTGGTGCATTTGTGTAATTAATAGACTGATTGCAATGATTAACTCAAGTAATTTGAATATTTAAATGATTTCATTATTTATAAAATATTACTTTTAATATAATATTCTGTAATCTCTATGTAATAACCACCGTACAAATTTGAATTGATCAACAAATTGAAATAACCAAGTCAAAGCAATATCGAAACCCTAGTAGTCTACTGTATCTGATACTTGAAAATACGTACATTCTATTCCTATACCACTTATACCGGTAGATGATTATTTATCATCAAGAATGTTCAACAATCTCATTTATATACCATATTCTTCAAACATTAGAAACACAATTTATTGAACGTTTGTTTAGTTTACGTCATATAATTGTTTAGAATTATTTATAATGATAAATCTCATACATGTGTTAAATAATGAATAATATTTACGATTACATGTATAAAACGCACAAATAATTAAAATTATATTTATTAATAAATGAGATAAAAGAGTGAATGAATACCTAATGACTTGAAGGCATCTTTCTCCTCACGTCTGGCAAAGTCATAGTGGGGTTCATAATGACCGCCAATACCATAGTTAACGACCTGTAACTCCTCGGCGGTCGACAGCTCCAGACCCGTCACATGACTGATGCGCTGAGAGATTCTTTTGACGACTTCGTGCTCTCTATTCGTAAGCCACGCGCTCTTCGAGATCCTGTATTTAGCGGTTTCCAGATTTCCAGTCATAGAGTTTTGAACCGTCGCTCGTTTTAGTTTGGGTTCTGATAACGTCTTCACGACCTCTATCTCCGAATCGGACAAAAAGTCGTGGAAAACAACAATTTGTGGCTTTTTAAAGCTCTCCTCCACTTTGATGTGCGTTAACCTTAGGAACGGAATTCCAGTTGTGTTCAAATGAAAGCAAACTAATTGTGACTCAATTCGTGGACTCAATCGCTTCTCTCCGCGACATAAGGCCTCGTATGCCTCCCTTTCCGTCTCCTCCACAGACCACGAGTTCTTTGACTCGACAATCGCTTCATCCAAAGGCACCTCTCCGTCGTCTCCCCTCTTCTTACTGGCCTTGAATTGAGTCAACTCTTTCTGGTAGTACTCAATGTTACCGAAAGCTCGGGGATGTTCGGGAGACAACTCCAGCAACTGATGGGTCAGTTTGAGTGCTTGCCTAACGTTCCCCCTCTTGTATGTGGCGAACGCCAAGTACTCCAAAATTGTCACTTTAGCCGAGTCTGTGACCGACTCCTCCTTCTCCAAGCGGTCCCACGACTCCTGCATCCAGAGGACGGTGTGGTAATAGTCTTGATTGACGTACGCCTGTCGTCCCAACTCGAAGCAGTCGTTGGCCCTCAACACCATCCGTGTCTCAGGCGGTTGGACGCCCTCCTCGCCCTTCTTAACCCCATTCGCATCNAGCAACTGATGGGTCAGTTTGAGTGCTTGCCTAACGTTCCCCCTCTTGTATGTGGCGAACGCCAAGTACTCCAAAATTGTCACTTTAGCCGAGTCTGTGACCGACTCCTCCTTCTCCAAGCGGTCCCACGACTCCTGCATCCAGAGGACGGTGTGGTAATAGTCTTGATTGACGTACGCCTGTCGTCCCAACTCGAAGCAGTCGTTGGCCCTCAACACCATCCGTGTCTCAGGCGGTTGGACGCCCTCCTCGCCCTTCTTAACCCCATTCGCATCCCTAACCGGAATGAATCCGTTGGCCAACGATGTTGTGTCCAACTTATAGGTGTCCTGAAGACGAAGCAATGCTTCGGCGGCGCCTAAAAGTCGGATGCATTTGAAAGCAATAATATTTTCATAAGAATTGATTCGTAAACAAAATATAAGCAAAACATTGCAAACATAACACTAAAACTAATCTCTAATTTGACGTCAATTTCTCGTATAAAAGATATCAAAACGTGAGAAATATATACAAATAAAGTTGAGAAGCGCTACAAACCTGATAAGTCTTCAGCTGATGGAAAGGTTTCGTTTTGCTGTAAGACATCGATTAGATGTCGTTTGTCTGTATGGATCAAAGTCTCCACTTCTCGCCAATCGGTGGTCAGCCGTTTCACCAGA